CCTTCCTCCTCCCTCCTCCTCCTCCTCCTCCTCCTCCTCCGTCCTCCTCCTCCCTCCTCCTCCTCCTCCTCCTCCTCCTCCTCCTCCTCCTCCTCTCCTCCTCCTTCTCCATTTTGGACCTCAAGGCCCGAGCGGCAGCCGCAGCCTTCTTGCACCCTTTCGGGAGACAAGCTTCGAACTCGGGGCCATGCGCGCCGCGCGCAAACCTCGCTGTGCCGAAGCCTCCGCCACTGCCCAGCGCGGGACCTCCCCGCCCAGCAGGCTGGGGAGTGAGGGCACCTGCTCCGCCGCCGCATCCGCCTGTCTACGGCGATGCGACGCGGACAGGCCATGAGTATCCCAGGCTTCCAGCTCCGGTGCCGCGCACTCCCGTTGGCCCTTCTGCGGCGGGGGTCTCCGGGAGGCAGCCGGCTCTTGCCAGGGCCCCGTGCGCGGCCGCCGCCGCCACTGCGCTGGCACGAGGGGAGGCGGTGGGCCAAGGACGCCTCGGGAGGCAGCAGCGACTACAGTTGACGTGCCTGGCTGCGTGCCCCAGGCGACGTCACACAAGAGGCCGCCACATGCAGATCTAGTCCCTTCGGGGGAAAGTAGAGGGCAGAAACTCCACCCCGATAATAAGCACCCCGACACGCGAAGCCGTTGAGTAAACGCACCCAAAGAAGGAATCAAACAGGGCAGGGCTGTTTAGTAAACGCCCAGGGCCGTTTGGTAAACGCCAGTTGTCGGGTCCGGGTGGTTTTCTCCTCCCTTGAGAACGAGATCCTGTACCATCCATGGTTCAAAGTCGTAGTCTCTGGAGCCAGGCCCCACGCCTACCGACTGGACGCACAGCTTGCTCGAGATCGCGTTCGAGCGGCGGGCGGCAGAACTCCCAGGTCGGTCAGTTACGAACGGACCTCAGCCTCTTTCTCTGATTTCTCCATGGGCCCCTACCCAGGATGACCACCACTAATCCCATTTGTGGTGGCGCAGCAGGTCTCGCTCTCTCAATGCTGCTCAGAGCTCGCGCGCACTCTTGGCAACCCTGCCCGGCGATCTCCAGGATGCTCCTCGTTCTCCGAGCTGGCATAGCTTAGGTACTTGCCCCCATCCTCCTTCTTCTCCTCACCCCCTTTCCTACTCAGAAGACAGCGTCGGCCCCACGCTCCCTGCTGAGGAATGTGCCAAGCAGCTTCTCTTGAGGTACCCGCCCCGGTTTCCAGTCGATGAGAGGGGACGCATGCAGATGACTCGCGGCTGCGCATCAGCCAGTCTTGCTCTCCCGTCGAAACTCTGAATAAACCCAGGGCAAGTATAAATTCGACCTCGCCTGCGTTGTGGCTCCCTCTTGCAGAACTTGTTGTAAATCCCTACGGACTGCTTCTATGGGTAACGCTGGCTCGGTTCATTGCTATCGGAGTCGCCCCATTCCCGAAATGCCGAAGTGTGCTTATTGCGGATGGGGTCGTCGCTTGTGGCAAGCTTCTGAAGGATGCGCTTGCCGTGGATGCTGGATCCAGTTCGCATCGCCAGACGAGGAAGAAAGCTGGTCGGACTGGTTTCAGGGCAGATTGAAAGCCTAGCCAGAGACCGTCCCCACCCCTTAAGCATCGGCACGCCCTCTGTCTCGTGTTGCTTGAGCTCATGTCTGTCCTACCTCGCTGTGGCGCTCAGCACTATTTCTTGGTGTTCGCATTTCGGAGGTGGACTGGAGGTTTCCCTGCTCATACTGCAGTCCGTGCTTCCCTATCTACGAGTGTGCCCGCCGTGCAATATTTCAGACATGCAACTGCCACATCTAGCCTGCTGCTCTGGCCCCCCATCGTCGACGGGGCTCCCCCGGTCGCCTTCCCCTGCGCTGCCGGACCGTTCCTGTGTCTTGCCTTCTTACCCGCGCACGCGTGACGGCCGTCAGTTGCAAGGCAAGCAGGCTGCTGCTGCACGCTCGCGACAGCTCTGTGATGGCGGAGGTGGTACGCTCGGCTGTAGCTCGGTGGGGGCTCCTGACGAGCCGCTCGATGCCTGAGGGCAAGAGCACCACCTTGTGTAGTCTGCTGCCTGGTGTAGTTCTAGCGGGCGCCAATTGCTCGAGCCCTGCCAGGGCTTGTCCTCCTCCGCGGGGCAGTGCTGGCGTCGCGACGAGGTCCTGGCTGGGCGCGAGCCACGGAAATAGGTGAGCTTCGGCGGCGAGCCAGGGGGAAAGTGAGAGGGGGCGGGCCTTCTCAGAAGGCGTGGAAGGCGCCGGGCCTTCTGAGGAGTGTTCCGGGCCTTCCCCGAAGGCACGGAAAACTTCTCGGGAGGCCAGACGGCTTCTGAGGAGCCCCGCGGCCTTGCGAGGAGGCCTTCGCCTTCTCGCCTTCCCCCCAGGCGCACCGCCGAGGAGCCGAGGAGCCGAGGTGGCGCGCAGCGGTGACCCTCCTCTGGCCACCCGGTGCCGTGGCTCGGCCCGTGCGGGGGCGAGCCGTGGTCTCGGCCGCGGCCTGACTCGCCTCCCGCCCTTCTCACTCGATCGGCTGCGGCCTGGCCGTGGGCGCGGTGCCACGCCGGAGCGGCCCTGAACTGCACTCCC